CCTGAATAAAACTTGGTCTTAAAGGTGCCACTGGACTGTTTGGGGCCGGGGGGCTGGGGGGGGGTCTCTGCAGCTTACCTGGCTGCTTCTTGCTCTGATAGAGGGCTGCTGGGAGCAGGGGGTGGGGCTTGTTGCATGTGCCCGCCCCCGGGCTCCGCTCCTATGCGCTCCTGCAGGAAATGCCCCCTGCATGTGTTCACCTTCCTGTCAATCAATTCAAGAACCCAGTTGGTAGGGTCACCAACCTCCAGGTGGGGCCTGGAGATCCCCCAGCATTACAACTGATCCCCAGACTATAGTGATCAATTCCCCTGGAGGAAATGGCAGCTTTGGAGGGAGGGGTTCTATATGCCACCACACCCCGACTGAGCTCCCTCCCCAAATTCTGTTCTCCCCAAGCACTGCCCCCCCCCTCTCCAAGAATTTCCAAAGCCAGAGTTGGCCCCCGTACCCCAAAGTCCAGACTGGATGGCACCATCACAGAAACCCTATACAAGCACCTTGAACACTGCCCTTCTGTTTTTCATGTGTGAACCTCAACTGGGGGAGGAGTCCTGAAAACTGCTTTACTTCATTTATTTAATTCATTCATACCTCACTTTTCTCCCCAATGGGGACCCAGGGTGGCTTACATCATTCTCCTGTCCTCCATTTTATCCTCACAACGAACCTATGAAGTAGGTGAGGCTGAGAGAATGTGACTGGCCCAAGGTCACCAACAAGCTTCCATAGCATGAGTGGGGATTTGAACCTGGGACATCTAGTCACACTCTTTCTCGGCCTAAGGGCTGTTGTGGGGATAAAACGGAAGAGAGGAGAATGATGTATAAGCCACTTTGGGCCCCCGTTATGGAGAAAGGCAGGGTATAAATGAAATATTAGGAAAGAGATAATGGGGTGATGGCATTTCAGAGCTGATTACAGTGTGGATTTCTGTCCTTTAAAGATTTCTGTCCTTTAAAATGGAAATGTTACCTGGTTTTATTCAGGTGGATTTCTTTTATCTCGAGGGGTCATCATCTAAAATTAGGGTTGGCAGGGACTCCCACTGCTGATGTAGCTTGCAGCAAGTTTGTGGGTTTAGGGCTTATAGCGATGTCTGTGATGGTATGTGGCAGGAGCCACTGTCAATCGCTCCCACCCCAGCCCATGACTGCCAAGTCTTTGTGTCTCCCAAGAGACTATCATTCGGTCTTCCATAACACTGAAATTAGATGGCTGTTTCTGTCTGTTCTCCACTCACACTGTTCCAGTTACTGTCGAAATGTGTCCTGTAACCTCTTCCCCCATGGTCTCGGAGCTTTCAGATGTTACCAGAATTGTGTTGGATCATGTGACCACACAGAACGGCAACTAATAATACCACTGAGCTAGAGTAAGCAAATGTACTTTTTGGGAAGTTGTTCTTCATGAAGCGTCATCTGGAGCAGAATTTAGGGTTCCACCTCCAGGTGGTAAGGAAGGAAATCTGTCTATCCATCTGGTACATCTTTTAGGGTCCAGCAAAGGTATAGGAGCTGCGGTGGCTCAAGTGGTTAAGACACTGAACTGCAGGCTGTGGAAGGTCAGTAGTTCAGCAGTTCGAGACCCGGGTTGCCGCATGACGGAGTGAGCTCCCGTCTCTAGTTCCAGCTCCTGCCAACCTAGCAGTTCGAAAGCAAGAAATTGCAAGTAGATGAATAGGTACCACTTCGGTGGGAAGGTAACAGCGTTCCGTGCGCCTTGGTGCTTAGTCATGCCGGCCACATGACCACGGAAACGTCTTCGGACAGCGCTGGCTCTTCGGCTTTGAAACGGAGATGAGCACTGCAACCCTAGAGTTGGATTCGACTGGCTTTCGAGCAAGGGAACCTTTACCTTTACCTTTAAAGGTATAACTGGCTCAGAGGGAAGGCGGTGTGGTATAGTCCGATCTTGTCATATCTCGGAAGCTAAGCAGCGTCGGTACTTGGATGGGGGATCACCAAGGAAGACTCTGCAGAGGAAGGCAAGGGCAAACCACCTCTACTTCTCACTTGCCTTGAAAGCCCCTTGCTGGGGTTACCATAACTCCATGGTTTAGCCCAATCTCCATATATCTTGGAAGCTGAGTAGGGTCAGTACTTGGATGTAAGAACACCAAGGAAGACTCTGCAGAGGAAGGCAATGGCAAACTGCCCCTGCTTCTCACTTGCCTTGAAAGCCCTTTGCTGGGGTCACCATAAGTCGACTGCAACTTGTGAGCACTTTACAGACATGATGGTATAACTGAGACCGTGTTTTCTTTTTCTTTTTAATATATATATATTTATTTTAAATAGGGTACAGGGGGAAAAAGGGGTGTGAGGGGGAAAGAAAAATAAACGTAAGGCACTTTTTTACAAATATTAAAGACAATATAAACGTGAATGAATTAATAAATCTAGGTAAATCGTTATAACATTGCCAAGGCCCCAGTCACACGGGCAGGAAAATGCAGGGGAGAAGCGTGGTTGTTTGCCCCGGAGCAAAATAACACGCGGCTGCATGATCAGACGTCCAGTCGAGGTCCCGTGGTTAGGGGGGAGGTGGCGATCACAGGACAATCCTGCGGCGAAGCGGCCTCCCTAGCAAAAGGCTCCACGGGATTAACCCCTTCCAGGGCTGCAGAGGAATGCAAACTGTGTCCTCCATCCGGTCCCCTCCAGGAGGAGCTTCAGCCAAGCCACCCTCCCGCCACACCCCCCTGCACCTCCCCCTCTGCCACCCGGTGCAGAGAGTTCCTCTTGAGCAGGCTGAGCCAGGAGTGGAGGGGTACGGAAAAGAGGAGGGGGCTGTGTTGTTTGTTTTTAAAAGAAGTGTGCGCATGCGCCGTTGGGTGCTTGTGCGCATCCCGTGGAGACTTTGGAAAAAACACCTTTTAGCGACAGGACATGGGCGGGTGCCAGATGCCACGACCTACCACCGGAAACGCGATCAGGCGCCCGCCCTTGCCCCGCGGTTTCCGGTACCTCGGAGGTACTAGTTTTTTACCCCTCATCTTCGGCGGGAAGCCTCGGGTTCGCCGCGGGAGCTCTACGCTTCCCAGATATGGCGCTGTGATCGCGCCCGGAAAATCCGCCTATCTTCCGTCTATGTAGCGTGGCTAATGCTCCGTGTGACCGCAGTCCAATAACACTATTTCCCTAAAATACATTATTCGCTATTCTCGGTCTGAAAAGAACTAAAAAAAAAATTGTGTAAACCAGGTCTCCCAACATTTTATATAAATTTAAAATAACCGGAAATCCATTTAAAATGATTTGTAACAACATGGAAATAACAAATATTAAAAATTCCATATAACTGTTGAAAATCATATGACTATGAAGAACTGGTAACAACTGATTAACTAAATAATCAGAATACTGTATTGCTCTTACAGCTCTATCTATAATAAGTATTTTTTAAAAAAACCCTGAGACTGTGTTTTCAATTGTCCTGAGACACTGTGATGGGAAGTGAGCGAGAAAGGTCTCTTGGGGCCAACCCATTACAAACTTTAGAGATCAAAACTAGCTTTTCCTCTTTAAGCTACTGCAACCAGTAAGAATGCTGAAAGACTGGTACAATGTGCCGGAAGCTCAGTGGTGGACCTCACTGGATGACCAGGGGCTAATAACTCTTTCAGCGTGGTGTGGGGGTTAAGAGCGCTAGACTCTAATCTGGAGAACCGGGTTTGATTCTCCACTTCTCCACATGAAGCTTGCTGGGTGACCTTGGGCCAGTCACAGTTCTCGCAGAACTCTCTCAGCCTCATCTACCTCACAAGGTGCCTGTTGTAGAGAGGGGAAGGGAATGAGATTGCAAGCCGCTTTGAGACACACGAAGCCAGCTGGGTGACCTTGGGCCAGCCACAGTTCTCTCGGAACTCTCTCAGCCCCACCTGCCTCACAAGGTGCCTGTTGTGGGGGGAGGAAGGGAAGGGGACTGTAAGCTGCTTTGAGGCTCTTTAAGGTAGAGACAAGTGTGGTATAAAAACAAACTCTTCTTTCATAATCTACACGTTTTGAGGTTGCCCTGGTTTCCTAGAAGAAAAGAAGTATTTGAATGTGGTAGATAGGAGCTTCCTCCCAGAAACAACTGCATTTCAAAACACATTCACACAACCACTGCATCCCAGTCTGCCCTTGCTGATTTCTTTAAAAACATGTTCAATGCTACATGAAAATGTCCCACTCAGCTTATAAGTGGCATGGCCAGTGTGACCTGACGAAGTCAGGTTGTTATGGGTTAAAACAGTCATGTGAGTAGGACCCTCGTGTCCAAAGAATCATCATAATAATTGGGCGGTATCCTAGCTGCGGTGGCTCAAGTGGTTAAGACGCTGAACTGCAGGCTGTGGAAGGTCAGTAGTTCAGCAGTTCAAGACCCGGGTGCCGCAAGACGGCGTGAGCTCCTGTCTCTAGTTCCAGCTCCTGCCAACCTAGCAGTTTGAAAGCAAGAAATTGCAAGTATATAAATAGGTACCACTTCGGTGGGAAGGTAACAGCGTTCCGTGCACCTTGGTGTTTAGTCATGCCGGCCACATGACCACGGAAACGTCTTCGGACAGCGCTGGCTCTTCGGCTTTGAAACGGAGATGAGCACCGCAACCCTAGAGTTGGATTCGACTGGCTTTCGAGCAAGGGAACCTTTACCTTTATACTACCATAGCCCTGACCTGGATGGCCCAGGCTAGCCTGATCTCGTCAGATCTCGGAAGCTAAGCAGAGTCAGCCCTAGTTAGTATTTGGGGGGGGAGACCACCAAGGAATTCTAGGGTCGCTATGCAGAGGCAGGCAATGGCAAACCACCTCTCTTAGTCTCATGCCTTGAAAAACCTATGGGGTCACCATAACGTGGCTGCGACTAGACAGCACTTTACACACATGTCCTACCATAAGTTCCTCCAGCCTACAGCCTTCCTCCAACTTAAGTAGTACTTCCGTTGAAGAAAGTGCCACTTAAGTTGGCAGAAGACTCCTTAGACTGGAGGACAGCTTCATAGTTTGCTTAGCGGAATGGGTAGGATCAGGGGTCATTTCGTAGAAAAAGAGGTGCAGGAGCTCATTAGCATAACTTATTTGCATATGCCACACCCCCTGACATCAGCAGAAGTGTGTCAGAAGGCAACACCCACTGCTCAGGCTCCACTGGACTGTTTTGGATTGCTAGCTATGGGGGGGGGAGGACACGCGCAGATCTGCCCTCACAGAGGTGGGAGATCTTGTACCTGAAGGCGGGCGGGGGGCTCCGCAACTTACCTGGCTGCTTCTTGCTCCTCATGGCTTGACTGAGGGCTGCTGGGAGCAGGGGGCGGGGCTTGTTGCAAGTGCCCGCCCCCTGGGCTCCTTACTGCCGGAGCTCCACTCCTGTGCACTCCCGCAGGAAATGACCCCTGGAAACAGACCATTGTCTGGTTGATGCACAGCTGTTCCTGTTTGCTTTGGCTCAATGGTACAGCATTAGCTTTGCATGCAGAACGTCTTGAGTTTCAATCCCCAGCATCTCCAGTTCAAAAGATCAGGTAGCAGTTGGTGGGGAAGGCCTCCAACTGAGACCCTTTAGAGCTGCTGCCAACCAGAGTAGACAATACTGACCCTGATAGACCAAGGCAGCTCCATGTTCCATGCCCTAGAGCCAACCAGAGAAGGAGGGTCATAACTTAGCAGGGGAAGAGCACGTGGTCTTCATGCAGAAGATCCCAGGTTCATTCCCTCATGAAAGGCAGAAGAACATGAGAAGATAGTGTTGCCAATCCCCAGTTGGGGGCAGGGGATCCCCTGGTTTGGAGGCCCTCCTCCCGCTTCAGCATTATCAGAAAACTGGGGGCGGGGGAATGTCCGCTGGGTACTCCATGGAGACGGTCCCCATAGTGTATAATAAAGAATTGATCTGTGGGTATTTGGGACGGGGGGGCCTGTTTTTTTGAGGTAGATGCACCAAATTTTCAGCATAGCATCTGATGTCTCTCCTCAAAAAAACACACCCCAGGTTTCAAAAAGATTGGACTGGGGGGTCCAATTCTATGAGCCCCAAAAGAAGGCGCCCTCATGGAAAGGCATTTAAAAGGAACACAGTTCCTTTAAATATGATGGCCAGAACTCCCTTTGAAATTCAGTCGTGCTTCTTCTTTCCTCTCTCCCGGAGGCTCCTGGAGAGTCCCCCTCTGGCTTGTCAGCCTCACCTCACAGCCCTATGAGAAGAGCCCTGCTGCATCAGACCAATGGTCCATCTAGTCCAGCCTCCTGTCTCACAGAGTGGCCAACCGGTTGCTCTGGACAGCCGACAACAAGGCCAAGAGGCCAAGGCCTTCCCCTGATGCTGCCTCCTGGCTCTGAGATTCGGAGGATTAGTGCCTCTGAATGTGGAGAGTTGGGTAAATCCTGAGATCTTGGAGAGCTGCGGACATTCAGAAGAAGAGGGTCCTGGGCTTGACCGAACCGTGGGTCTATTGATAAGACAGCTTCGTATGTTTGTGATATAGTTTGCTCACAACCCAGGGAGAATTTCTCTTGCACCTGAGGAGGAGTCACATAGGAAGGGTACCTAACGCTCTTTGAAGCTTTCCTCTCCTCCTGTGTGTGATAACGGCCCTGTTGCTTGTCTCACAGTGTCAGCTCAGAAGCGCATTATCGGGGGAGCCGATTGTCATCCTCATTCCCAACCTTGGCAAGTCTTCCTCTATGACAGCTTCCAGAACTACTGCGGAGGGGTCTTGATCAATAAGTATTGGGTCGTCACCGCCGGACACTGTCACGAATGGCAAGACTCTGGGCCTGTGGGGAGGAATGACAATGGATTCAGAAGGTAATCAAGCAGAGAACTGAAGAAAGGGATGGATTTAGGACTAGGAGGCAAATAACTTCACTGACAGCTCCCATACTGGTAGGGTTGCCAGTCTCCAGGTGGTGGCTGGAGATCTGCCAAAATTCCAACTGGTCGGGTGCACTGTTCCCTCTAAGCTGAGTTAGTGTGAGCTAGCTCACAATTTCTTAGCCTCTGGCTCACACATTTTTGTCTTAGCTCAGGAAGGATGGCTCTAAGGAGCAAACTAATTTATGCAGTAGCCAGGTCAGTTGCTCACAACTTTAACGCCAATAGCTCACAAAGTAGAATTTTTGCTCACAAGATTCTACAGCTTAGAGGGAACTCTGGTTGGGTGACAGAGATCAGTCCCCTGGAGAAAATGGCTGCTTTGGAAAATGGACAGTCGGCATTATACCCCACAAAAGTCCCTCACCTCCCAAAACTCCACCCTCTTTAGGCTCCACCCCCCAAATCTCCAGGAATTTCCCAACCCAGAGCTGGCAACCCTAGCTGTGGGGAAGCCACTCCTCGCTGTGTGGGCAGGGAAGGAGGAAGTGGGCCTGCCTCCCCTTACGTGGGCTGCCCACTGTGGACAGGTGGCATATCTTGAGGCTAGGCGTGCCACTGGGGAGGGTGGGGTATAAATATGAAAATAAAAATAAATAAATAAATAAATCCCCAGGTGGGGGCTGGAGATCTCCCAGAGTTACAATTGATCTCCAGACTGCATAAATTGCTTATTATTTATAGAAAACCGTTTATTCCACTTCTTCTGGAGAAAAGAGCTGCTTTGGAAGGTGGATGGCACGGCACTGTACCCTATCGAGCCCCCTCCCTCCCTGAATCTCACTTCCCCAGGCTCTACCCTCAAATCTCCAGGTATTTCTGAACCCGGAGTTGGAAACCCTACCTGAAGCTGTGGCTTGTCATGGCAGATCAGGTAGGGTTGCCAAATTCCTGGATTTGGGGGGCTGGAGCCTGGGTAGGGGAGGGAACTCAATGGGGTATCATGTCCTAAAGTCCATCCTCCAAAGCAGCCTTTTCCCCCAGGGGAAATGGTCGCTGTCGTCTGGTGATCAGTTGTATAAGCTGGAGGTATCCAGGCCCCACCTGGAGGTTGGCAACCTTAGCAGATGCCCATGCCAGGGTGTGGGGTGATGGGGCTTTTTGGCTTCCCTCCTCCTCTGGAACCCTGTGTGTGTGCCTGGTGGACAGAGTGGAATTTCCCATTCCCGATGTATTGCCTCCCATCCCATGGGTGAATTTAAAACAGCCATTGCTACATCATGGCTCATTTGCTAGAATCGCTACTCCTGCCCTCCCAAGGGCAGTGTGCTTGAAAGTCCTCAGAAGAAGAAGAGATTGGATTTACACCTCGTCCTTCACTACGCAAAGGAGTCTCGGAGCGGCTTACAATCCTCTTTCCCCCACAACAGACACCCTGTGAGGTAGGTGGGGCTGAGAGAGCTCTTTCGAGAACTGCTCTCTAAACAGCTCTGAAAGAACTTGTCACTGACTCAAGGTCACATCAGCAGCTGCATGTGGAGGAGTGGGGAATCAAACCCGGTTCTCCCAGATTAGAGTCTGCGCTCTTAACCACTACCCCAAACTGTCTCCAAGCCACGCAGGGAGGAATCCTCCACCACTCAGTTGCTTCTCCGCTGGCATCTTCAGAATCTTTGATCGGTGTAGTGTTGCCAGCTCTGGGTTGTGAAATTCCAGGTGGTTTGGGGGTGGAGCCTGGGGAGGGTGGGATTTTGGGAGAGGAGGGATCTCAGCCAGGCATAATGCCATGGAGTCCACCCCCCTAAGCAGCCATTTTTTTCCTCAGAGGAACTAATCCCTGTAGTCTGGAGAGCTGAAGTCTCATCTTTGTCATCTGACAATCACTTGTAATTCCTGGAGATCTTCAGGTGCCACCTGGGGATTGGCAACTGGGGTTGCCAGGTCCCCCCTCGCCACTAACGGGATGGGGGGCAGGGTTGCCAGCTCCAGGTTGGGAAATTCCTGGATATTTGGGGGTGGAGCCTGGGGAGGACAGGGACCTCAGTGGGGTACAATGCCGCAGAGCCCACCCTCCAAAGCATCCATTTTCTCCTGGGGAGCTGATCTCTTTAGTCTGGAGATGAGCTGTAATTCAGCGGGATCCCCAGGTCCCACCTGGAGGCTGGCACCCCTACTGGCAACCCATCACCAGGAGCATTCAAAAGGAGATTCCCTTGCCTGACGTCATTTCGGTGAGTCCTCAAGCTTAACCTCTGAGCGGGTCTGAATTTTGCCTCATAGAACTATCACAGTTTTTCTTGGCGCTCACACTCTGTGGAAGAGAGGAGGGGCCCAGATTACCCACGCCGTGGAGGCCATCCGCCATGCCGCTTTTGAACCCATGTCCCTGAAGAATGACATCATGCTTCTGCGCCTGGACCCCCCCGCCGTCCTGGGGGGTAGAGTCAGGCCCATTCCAATGGCGGGATGGTGCGCGCCTGTCGGGACAAAGTGTGTGGTCTCAGGTTGGGGTGCCACTTCTATCCCTGAAGGTAAGGGGGAAAGACCAGAGGCTCCGAGTTCACATCTGGGGACAGCTTGAAGTAGGAACAATGAGAGGGATGCCACAAAGCAAGCCCCCCGCCCTCCACTTCTGCCACTGGAAGTCCAAACACAGGCTTAGCTGAGGATTGGAACCAAGGCTCTCTCTTTTTTGCCATCAAGTCACAGCTGAATTATGGTGACCCCCTGGGGTTTTCAAGGCAAGAGACGTTCTGAGGCGGTTCACCATTCCCTAGGGTTACCAGGTCTGGGTTGGAAAGTACCTGGAGACTTTGGGGGTGGATCCAGGAGAGGGCGGGGTTTGGGGAGGGGAGGAGCCTCAGCATAGTACAATGCCATAGAGTCCGCCCTTCAAAGCAGCCATTTTCTCCAGGGGAGCTGATTTCTGTCAGCTGGGGATCAGTGGTAAAAGCAGGAGATCTCCAGGCCCCACCTGAAGGCTGGCAACCCTACCATTCTCTCCCTCTGTGTAGCAACCCTGGGCTTCCTTGGTGGCCTCCAATCCAAGTACTAACCAGGGCCGACCCTGCTTATCTTCTGAGATATGATGAGATCGGGTTCGCTTGAACTATCCAGGTCAGGGCTTAGACTGAAGTAACTGCATAGGATCAGAAATGCTGGATTCCCTTTTTTAATGCTAATAGATACATACATTAGGCATCCCAAGTTGTAGCTTCCTGACTTAACCTGCTCACCCTTGCTCAGTTTGGGTATAGAATTTAGTTCTCTGGAAGGGAAACTGGGGAGCGTAAGTGTGGTATAGTGGCCATGAGTGGTGGACTCTAAACGAGAACCGGGTTTGATTCCCCACTCCTCTTCCACATGCAGCCAGCTGGGTGACCTTGGGTCGGTCCCAGTTCTCTCAGAACTCTCTCAGCCCCACCTTCCTCACAAGGTGCCTTTTGCGGGAAGGGGAAAGGAAGGTGATTGTAATTCGCCTTGGAGCTCCTTAGGGTAAAGAAAAGTAGGGTATAAGAACCTCCTCTTCTGCATCTCAGAACCTCTTAAGAATGGTCCTAGCTCAGTGGCTCCTGGCTCACGTCCAGTCCCTGGCATCTCCTCTAAAAAGGAATTCAGAGTGCTAGGCCAGGGGAGAAAAGTCAGTTCCAGACCTTAGGAGAGCCGTTGCAATTAAAAATACAGTATTTATTTCAATAAATTATCCCTTGCCTTCCACCCCAATGGGGACCCAAAGCAATTGACAATACCCTCAACACACACATACCCACAATGGATCTTGGTCCATCAAGGTGAGTGTTGTCTACTCATAACAGAAGCAGCTTTCCAGGGTATCAGGCAGAGGCTTTTCACATCACGTCCTGTGTGGTCCTTTCAACTGGAGACGTCAGGGATTGAACCTGGGACCTTCTGCCTGCCAAGCAGATGCTCTACCACTGAGCTATGATCTCTCCACCTCCTTCTAACCCCTACACCATACTGGCTCGGACAGTAGATGAGCTACTGATTGATTCAAGCAGTTCCATTGGTTTATTTTGGGGAATAATATCTAGAGCGTGGGATGGGGGAAGGCCCACTTAGATAAGCGCACTTAGATCAGCCACAACATGCCCCATCCACCTACTCACCCAAAGAGTCATCTTGCAGTGAAATACACCAGAAACCTGCAGTGCGTTGAAGTGATGGTCCTGCCCAAAACAGTATGCCGGAATGCCTATGGGGCCAACTTCATCAACAGTGAGATTTGTGCAGGAGCCATCAAAGGAGGAAGAGATGCCTGCCAGGTAAGCCGGCAAAGGCCGATGGGATGGAACGTATTCCAGGAAGGGTTCTATTTCACCAAGCCTGAGAAGGTTGGTGCAGAAATCAAGAGGACCGGGTCAGATGATCACTTCGGAGCTGGGAAGGCAACCCAAAGCGGACTTCTCACATCGGCCTTGACAAAAGCACTTGGCTTGGAAAGATCAGGCATCACTGTGCCCTGAAATGGTCTTTCCAAACTAGAGAGTCCCATAAATTTTGAAAAATGTGCTTTCCCCGGCAAACCCTTAAAATGACGTTGCATAAGTTTTGTCTCCGTTATCTAATTGGGGTGGGTGGTGCCAAGAGAAAGGGCATTTTCGGTAGTGACTTTGGGATGTTCACCTGCAGCCAAGCCAAACCATTTATTGCTACCTGGGCTTTTAACGAAGGCTTAAAAAAAAAAAATTAGCTGTTCTACACTCTCCTAGCTCCAGGATTTTTTAAAAGGTTGTTCAATGGTTGCTTTCTGCTGTTTTTAATGCCACTGCTTGTTTTTAACATGGTTAATTTACACAATTGTGTTAATGTCATTGTTTTTACTTGTGAGATATCCCTAGCAGGGATCTGGAGAGGCTGTATACAGATTCCCTAAACTAAATATTTCCAAAACGAAGAAAGTGCCTGAACCCTCCAAATACTGATCAATGATTCATAAGAACATAAGAAGACCCCTGCTGGATCAGTCCAGTGGTCCATCTAGTCCAGCATCCTGTCTCACCCAGTGGCCAACCAGTTCCTCTGGAGGTTCAACAACAGGGCAAAGAGGCCAAGTCCTTCCCCTGATGTTGCCTCCTGGCACTGGGATTCAGGGGTTGACTGCCCCCGAATGTGGAGGTTCCCCTCAGTCACGGCTCGTGGCCACTGATAGACTTATCCTCCATTATCTAATTTCGTTTTAAAGCTATTTATTCCTGTGGCCATCGCTACATCCTCTGGCAGCGAATTCCACATTTTAATCACTCTCTGTGTATAGTGGTATTTCCTTTTGTCTGTCCTGAACTCAAGGAGAAACCAAGTGTTTTGCCTCTGGCAGAAAACGAGACCTAATCTAGGAGCCACTATCACTGTACCTTTCTGAATCAAACTTCACGTTGATCTAGGACAGTTTTTCCAAGCCACCCTCTGACCCCTTTGTGCTGGCGTCTCTTACAGGGTGATTCTGGGGGCGCCCTGGTCTGCAACGGGGTCCTTCACGGCTTGGTGTCGTGGGGAGATGAGCGCTGTGCAGTTGAGAACAGACCCGGCGTCTACACTGAAATCTGCAAATTCAGAGGATGGATCATAAGGAACATGATTGATTGACTGCGTTAATCCTCAATAAATATTTGGAGCAATTGTAGTTTGGCCACTATTTGTAGTTCATTCTCTGTTTCCCGGTTTTCTCACATTGGGCGTTCAGAGAGCAGCCCCCATTGACCCCAGCGGATGGTGACCCCCATCCCCAGTGGATCATGCTTGCTTGCCAGTGGCAAGACTGAAAGGGAAAAAGTCTTGAAGCAGACGAGGATTGTTTGCAACCACATTGGTCCAGAATCATGATCACAATCTAGGCAACAGCTTGTATTTTTTGCCGTCAAGTTGCAGCCGACTTATGGCGTCCCCTGGAGGGTTTTCAAGGCAAGAGATGTTCAGAGGTGGTTTGCCATGGCCTGCCATCACGTCACCACCCTGGTATCGCTAGGTGGTCACTCTTCCAAGTATTAGCCAGGGCTGAGCCTGCTTAGCTTCTGAGATCTGATGAGATTGGGCTAGCCTGGGCTATCCAGGTCAGGATCGTGTTTAGCTTCCAAAATCTTATTAGATCAGGCTAGCCTAGACGATCCAGAGTATTAGGACCAATGAAAATCAAACCAAAAAATGTTCAAGCTTTTGCATTCACCAGCATTCTTTTCAGGCTGAATGTTATAAAATGTATAAAATGTTATAAAAATTAAGGAGGAGGAGGAGGAGATTGGAATTATACCCCATCCTTCACTACCAAAAGGAGTCTCAGGGTGACTTACAATCTCCTTTCCTGAGAGAGCTCTTTCGGGAACTACTCATGAGAGAACAGCTCTGAAAGAACTTGTAACTGACCCAAGGTCACGCCAGCAGCTTCATGTGGAGGAGTGGGGAATTAAATTTGGTTCTCCCAGATCAGAGTCCGCACTCCTAACCACTACACCAAACTGGCTCTCAGAACTGGTAGGAAAGACCAAATGTCTGTGGCCATGATCTTATGACCTGTTCATAACAGTATTGTTTGTGAGCCAGTTTGGTATAGTGGTTAAGTGCGCGGACTGTAATCTGGGAGACCCGGGTTTGATTCCCCACTCCTCCACTTACACCTGGCTGGATGACCTTGGGCAAGCCATAACTCTGGCACAGCAGTTCTTGAAAAAGAGGAGTTTCTGTCAAGAGCTCTCTCAGCCCCACCTACCTCACAGGGTGTCTGTTGTGGGGAGGGGGGGAAAGGAGATTGTAAGCCGCTCTGAGACACCTTTGGGTAGTGAATGGCAGGGTATAAATCCAATATCTTCTTCTTCTTCTTCTTTGTTTAAAGCTGAGCAGGAAGATTTAAAATGGTACTAATGCTGGCCTTTGATTTTTCAGCAAGGAGACAGTGGTAAGATTGAACCTGGGACCTTTGGCATGGAAAGCAGATGCTCTACCACTCAGCCATGGCCTCTCCCCCTTATTTTTGCTGTACACGGAGGAGGAGATATAAAACAGCATAGGGGTGGGCAACAGATCACAGACGGTTAGTAATGGCCATGGAAAATGGTGTCAAGTTGCAGCCAAATTATGACAACCCCATAGGGTTTTCAAGGCAAGAGATGAACAGAGGTGGTTTGCCACTGCTTGCCTCTGCATAGCAACCCTGGCCTGTCTTGGTGGTCTCCCATCCAAGTACTAACCAGAGCTGACCCTGCTTAGCTTCCAAGATCTGGCGAGACTGATTAATTGCCAAAGGGCCAGCCAGGAGCCAATGGGTATGGCGATTCTTGGAAGAAGAAGAAAAACCCACCCGAGAAAGGTGGTCTGAATCTGCATGGTACTTCTTACATTCTTAAACAAGAGTGCAAGGTCAGGATCACTTAACACAGATTAGACAGATCTATACCTTTAAGCAGTCCTGAAAAGGCACGTTTGTTTCGTACAGACACATTGGGTGAGCATATGAGTTCTAGTAAACATAACCATGTAAGAATGAAGGCAGCCCACGCTAAGGCAAAAGGCTCAGCATGCCATGAAAGAGGAGGTGACAGCCCATCTCAATATGGTACCCATGCTACAGGGTGGTTAGGGAGTTCAATTGCTCTATCGAACAACAAACTAGCTGGTCCTTATTTTTGTGGGTGGGTTTTGCTATCAAGTCACAGCTGACATGGCAACCCAGTTTTCAAGGCAAGAGACGTTTCAGAGATGGTTTCCCATTGCCTGCCTCTGTGTCACACCCCTAGTATTCCTTGGTGGTCTCCCACCCAAATACTGACCAGGGCTGACCCTACTTAGCTTCTGAGATCTAATGGGATCGAGGTAGCCTGGGCTATCTAAGTTATCAATAATTTCATAAATCAAGAAACAGCTTGGCAAAGACTCCAAATGGGACAGAATTGTTGGATATTGTACTCTGCATGCAAGAGGATCTGGGAGGGAAAGGGTTCAGAAAATTCTCTCTAACTTGGGTAAACTGGGCAGCTGGCCCCACCCTCTCATCATCGGGCTCTTTTTGTAGTAGGTACTCATTTGCATATTAAGCGACACATCCCTAATGTAGCCAATCCTCCAAGAGCTTACAGTAGCCCCTGTAAGAAGAGCTCTGTAAGCTCTTGGAGGATTGGCTACGTTAGGGGTGTATGGCCTAATATGCAAAGGAGTTCCTGCTGCAAAAAGAGCCCTGCCGGGCAGCCTGAGCCTCTTTGGCCATTGATTGCCTTCTGTTTCATCCTATATAGGACCTCTCTTCTCAGTCTTACCTGGGCTTTTAAAGCTTTTTTGAATCTGTTCACAAACAGTTAAATGTACTTACATGAATATGTCATGCAGGGGTCATTTCGTAGAAAAAGAGGTGCAGGAGCTCATTAGCATAACTCATTAGCACAGCACTCATTAGCACAACACCCACCGCTGAGGCTCCACTGGACTGTTTTGGATTGCTAGCTATGGGGGGGGGGGATGTGCAGATCTGTCCTCGCAGAGGAGGGAGAGCTTGCACCTGAATAAAACTTGGTCTTAAAGGTGCCACTGGACTGTTTTGCACCGAGGGGGGCTCTGTAACTTACCTGGCTGCTTCTTGCTGTGACTGAGAGCTGCTGGGAGCAGTGGGTGGGGCTTGTTGCATGTGCCCGCCCCCTGGGCTCTTTACTGTCAGAGCGCCGCTCCTGTGCACTCCTGCAGGAAATTACCCCTGATGTTATGTAAGACGCGCTTCTATTTTTGTAAGAAAAAATTCTTTCTCTTGCTACCACTGGAGTCAGAACATCTTTGTAATTTGTTTGAATGGCATTTTCCTCTTAAGTGGGAAATGTGGAGGACTGTGTAAAGCTTCTGTGTTTCCAAGACACACTTTTTTTTTTACATTTAACCCAATAAGAATTTCTAGCACAATTGTCTGTCCACTGTGAAAAGGAAACCTGGGATCAATGGCCCACTGGCCTGTTCCAGCAAGGCACCTCCTATTTCTTATACAACAAACATCAATCTTTATTTATTTACTTTTTGCCATTAATTCTCACAACTGATGGATGGCTACCCTGTAGGGTTTTCAAGGCAAGAGACGTTTCAGAAGTGGTTTTGCCATTGCCTGCCTCTGCCTAGTAACCCTGGACTTCCTTGGTGGCCTCTCCCATCCAAAGATTAACCAGGGTCAACTCTGCTTAGCTTCTGAGATCTGACGAGATTGGGCTCGCCTGGGCTACCAAGGCCCAAGCACTGATAAACAATAGGAAAAGTACCGGAAGACAACCAAAACATCCTCTATTCACTATCAAGAGATTCTGCTAAACAGGGGAAAGCCTTGCAGTTCTGAGCTTCGGCATTAGGAAAAAGAGATATGGAAACACAAATGCGGGATCAATAATCAAGTTTAATAGGGGTTAATTTGTCTACTGTTTTAATCTCTCGGCTCCTCTTTGACCATGGCAAAAGACTCTCATATGGCATGGAGCCTCATTCCCAGTGGCGCCTGTGCCCCCATCCTTTGGTTGGAGAGCAGCTGGCTTTGAGTAGGGCACAGTGTTCTTTCCACTTCACTGTGGGTGGGAACGTCTTCACTGGGGTCCCCGGCCTTATTGAGCCTAGGGACACCTTTGGAATTCTGATACACAGCAGTGGGCGTAATCGCAAAACTGCCGCTGCAGAAGGGCCACAAAATGTCAGGGAGTTAGATTACACATAACTCTTAACAATTTCTTCACACTTTCTAAAAGCACTTAGCAGGCACCAGGAAAGGTGTTGGGGGGCCCCATGCTGGGGACCCCTGATCTGTACAGTTCATTGCCGCATGGATCCAACATGAAAGGTTTTACCAGAAAAGGGGGAGCTTCTCAGCACCCAAGACAGGAAAAACACAGGCTCAGAAGTCTATAGTCCTAACAGCGTTGCTGGACTGTTCAGAGTCCTCCTGGAAGCCCGCCTCCGGCTTCTCTGCACCCGTCAGAGCCTTTTGCAGCCGGCTGGGCTTGCCAATCCCCAGTCGGGGCAGGCCGCGGTTGAGCCCTTCCAGCAGCACGCACGCTTTGCAAAGGGGCTGGCTGGAGAGGTAGCCACAGCGTTGGCAGATGCCCTGGGTGGGCATGCGCACATCCTCACGCACTGCCAGGCGCTCACCCGAGTGCACCAGGTCGGCCACGGCACTGGGCCGCACGGCCTCGAGGTCTTTCAGCAGGGTGCGGGTGTGGCCGCGGTAAGCATTGGGCGCATAGACGCACTCAGTGCTGAAGTAGTCCAGGCCCTGGAAGTAGGCATACAGGACAATCTCCTTCTCGTAGGCGTGCTTCAGGGGCTTGCACCGCGGCAAGGTCCCCTCGCCACCGGTGAGGATCCCCGCGCAGCGCCGCAGCCGACCCACGTCCCCTCTCAGGAAATTCATCAGCACCGTCTCAGCTACGTCGTCTGCGTTGTGACCTAAGAAGGTAATGAGACAGCAATATTCACCATAGTGGTAATCATAAGCCAAGCCAGTGACGGCGCGTGCAATTAAAAATGAATATATGTTGTCTTCCCTATCCCCTACAAACATTGTTAGTCCCTTGTCTATATCGAGTAACTGTACATAGCTTTGAGCCCACTGGGGAAAGCGATTAATAAATGGAAAGTTAAAAAAAAAAAATCCCTGACCTAGATAGCTCAGGCTAGCTGGATCTCGTCAGACTGTTAGCCAAATGGGCCCTTAACCTGGTGTGCCAGTCCCCAATGACGAACACTACCAGTGGGATTCCAGAAGGAGACACAACTTTATTGCAATAAAGGGGACCTTGGCAGCAGAAACCCAAAGGCTCCACCCAAGCAACATAGGTATCGGCTTTTTATAGCTTGAAATAAACAACTTGTAGACATACACAGATGCTTACAGATTACAAAACTTAAACTTTCTTTACATCTATATAAATATATTTGCCAAGCATGCATTTCTTTTTGCCCTTATTTGGAATGCTCATATGTCTCCTGAGCTTTGCAAAACAATCTATATATGTAATAGCCAAGGCGCCCCCTGCGTGCGGATATCTAAATCCACACATCGGGGCACCTAGGGGGCAAAGAGATTTTCCTGCACATTTGGGGCAATCCCCAGATGTGCAGGAAAATCTGAAACATTGAAAAAAGTATACGGGGGATATTTAAATCCCCCCCAAAAGTAAAAGAGCCTTCCCTGTGCATGTGCAGAGAAAGCACTTACCAATAGGAACTGTGGCTGCTGGCGGCGCCAGTGGCAGCGCGGCAAGAGAAGCCTTGGCAACCAATGGCTGGGAGCCGCGGCCATTGCTGGGAAGGGGGGACTGGCCAGCCCAGTGGCTAGGAGCTGCGCAGGGCTTGCCGCCGTTGCTGCTGGTGGCGGCGGGGGGGAGGGAGAAGGGCTGCACAGGGCTCGCCGCCTTTGCTGCTTGCGGCTGCGGTGGCTGGGGAATCTAGGTGAGCCCAACGGACCGCCTGCTGGGCTCACCTGCAGCCGCATCCTCCTCTGTATGGAGCTCCTGCTGCTTCAGCAGGCGAGCCACCCAGGAGCTGCAGGGAATACTCCCCCCCCCCCGCCTGTGCGGGTCCCACTTCTTGTATGTCTTATTTCTAAAGAACACCTTTGCTTAATTGGCTATGTTCTGGCCTGAGCTACACAAAGCAGTTTAAAAATGGCTTCGGTCTTGCCTATCAAGATCTTGGAAGCTAAGCAGGGTCAGCCCTGCTTAGTATTTGGAGGAGAAGGAAATCCAGGGTTGTGACACAGAGGCAGGCCATGGCAAACCACCTCTGAATATCTCTTGCCTTGGAAACGCTGCGGGGCCGCCATAAGTCAGCTGCAACTTGATGGAACACACACACACAAAATAATAATAGTTAAACGTTCTCAAGTTGCAACTCATGGTGACCAGTGTTCCCTCTAAGCTGAGTTAGTGTGAGCTAGCTCAAAATTTTTTAGCTTCCAGCTCACAGATTTTTGCCTTAGCTCAGGAAGGATGGGGCTCCAGAGCAAGCTAATTTATGCAGTAGCCAAATCTCTCACTCACAACTTTGATGCCAGTAGCTCAGAAAGTAGACTTTTTGCTCACAAGACTCCACAGCTTAGAGGGAACATTGATGGTGACCCCTCAAGGGCTCAAGCTCTTTTCCCTTGCATTGCCACACAGCCCAGATCCAGCCCAGGCTCACACATGCCGGAAAATTAAGTTCCCAGCAGGGATCCCATCGGGCACAATTGACTCTCTCACACTGCCACTCGACTCTCCTAACCCCATGGGCTTTAATGAGCTTCGAAGACTGCATAACTCCACTCAGAACAGCGCTGCAAGTATAGGGTTTTGTATAGGGTAGTTTTCACAGACGTGTTTGGTTTTCCCCTTTTTTTCTATCCAGGTTATGTGAAACTGTTTTCGGGATATTGCAAGTACACAGACACATGCACCGTGTGAATTTATAATTTTAACCGTTTCAGTGCAACACAATAGCATTGACATTGTTACACAAGAGCTCGCAAACCTGCTGAGCAGGGTAGCACACAAGCCCGTCAGTGTCAAAACTTCCCCACAACACACACACCCCCATAAACGTGAAAGCGCCCGAACGTCTGAACGCGAATCCCGACTCCATTCTCGGTAAAGACCAATGTTCCCTCTAAGCTGTGGAGTCTTGTGAACAAAAATTCTACTTTGTGAGCTACTGGCATTAAAGTTGTGAGCAAGTGATCTGGCTACTGCATACATTAGTTGGCTCTGGGGCCATCCTTCCTGAGCTAAGACAAAAATGTGTGAGCCAGAGGCTAAAAAACTGTGTAAAAAACTGTGAGCTAGCTCACACTAACTCAGCTTAGAGGGAACACTGGTAAAGACTGAGATCACCCCCAGCTCCTCAAACCGAAGCGCCAGGCGGCTCACCCGTGGCGATCTTGTCGGCTCCCAGCAAGGCGGCGCCGCGGTCGAGCGCCTGCCGTCGGAAGACGCCGCAGAAGGTGCAGTTGTTCTTGGGGCCGACGTGGCGGGCGATGCGGTCCATGCTCCAGCCGTAGAGCTCCTGGTAGGAGAGCACGTGGAGCGGCAGCCCCAGGCGGCCCCGGTTGCGGCGCACGGCCTCCAGCGAGTCGTCCCGGTAGCCGGCGATGCCCTCGTCGATGGAGAGCAGCAGCAGGCGCAGGCCGTAGCCGTGGCGCTCGTTGAGCAGGCGCAGCAGGTGGGCCAGCACCGTCGAGTCCTTGCCGCCCGACGCCCCGACGGCCACCGTCTCGCCCGGCTGGAAGAGCCGCGCCGACACGATCGTGCCGTGCACCTCCGCCTCGAAAGCCGCCACGAAGCACGCGCGGCACAGCGCCCGGCCCGTCTTGGGGCGGCGGAGCGCGGCGCGGCCAGCCCCGCAACTCTGGCAAAGGACCGGCGCCGGCATGTCCGACCGGGGGTCAGGGCGCTCGAAGCGGCTGCTGTCCTCGGAAGACGGCGGACGGAGGAAACTACAACTCCCGGCAGACCTTGGGTTCTCGCCGCTGGGCCCTGGGTGTGCGTCACAGCCAGAGCGCCGCAGTGCCCAGACGTGACCCAAGTTGGCAGGCGGGCGGAAGCCTGTCGTTGAGTCTCATCTGCAGGAAACCGCTGTGCAGAGTTTTTCCAGGCCAAGCATAGAACTGGAGAAACTCTGTACAGGGCTGCGCTGTTATAAGAAGAATTCCCGAAGAGCTCAAAAGCTGGGTGCGGTGGTTTTTTATTTATTAGGTTTTATTAATATTTTAATTTTTTAATATTTTATTTACTTCACTTATATCCTGGCAGAGACTCTCCTGGCAGAGACTGAGCAAGAGAGAGATCTTGGAGTTGTAGTGGATAACTCACTGAAAATGTCGAGACAGTGTGTGACTGCAATAAAGAAGGCCAATGCTATGCTGGGGATTATTAGGAAGGGTATTGAAAACAGATCAGCCAATATAATAATGCCCCTATATAAATCAATGGTAAGACCTCATTTGGAATACTGTGTGCAGTTCTGGGCACCACACCTTAAAAAAGATATTATAGCTTTGGAAAAAGTGCAGAAAAGGGCAACTCGAATGATAAAAGGGTTGGAACACTTTCCCTATGAGGAAAGGTTAAAGCGCTTAGGGCTCTTTAGCTTGGAGAAAAGACGACTGAGGGGTGACATGATCGAGGTTTATAAGATTATGCATGGGAAAGAGCAGGTAAAGAAAGAGGTACTTTTCTCCCTTTCTCACAATACAAGAACTCGTGGGCACTCCATGAAACTGCAGAGCGGTCGGGTTAGAACGGATAAAAGGAAGTACTTCTTCACCCAAAGAGTGATTAACACATGGAATTCACTGCCACAGGAAGTGGTGGGTGCTACAAGCATGGACGGCTTCAAAAGGGAATTAGATAAGCATATGGAGCAGAGGTCCATCAGTGGCTATTAGCCACAAGGTATAGCTAGGGGCTCTGGGGCAAGTGATGCTCTGTCTTCTTGGTGCTTGGGGGGGGGGGTCAACAGTGGGAGGGCTTCTAATGTCCTGGCCCCACTGCTGGACCTCCTGATGGCACTGGTATTTCTGGCCACTGTGTGACACAGAGTGTTGGACTGGATGGGCCTTTGGCCTGATCCAACATTGGCGTCTCTTATGTTCTTATGTTCTTATTAGATTGATGTCATTTATACCCTGCCTTTCTCCCCACTGGGGACCCAAAGCGTCTTACATCGTTCTCCTCTATTTTATCCTCATGACAACCCTGTGAGGTAGATCGAGAAGAGAAGAGATTGGATGTATATCCCACCCTTCACTCAAAGTCTCAGAGCGGCTTACAATCTCCTTTCCCTTCCCCTCCCCACAACAGCCACCCTGTGAGGTAGGTGGCGCTGAGAGAGCTCTTTCGAGAACTGCTCCTGAGAGAACAGCTCTGAAAGAACTTGTGACTGACCCAAGGTCACACCAGCAGCTGCATGTGGAGGAGTGGGAAATCAAACCTGGTTCTCCCAGATTATAGCCCCCCACTCTTAACCACTACACCAAACTGGTAACCCTGTTAGTCTGTAGCAGCAGAAAAGACAGTCCCATAGCACCTTAAAGACTAACAAAATTTGTGGCAGGGGATGAGCTTTCGGAAGTTCACTGCTCACTTCTTCAGATATTCAGAGGAGAGGAGAATGATGTAAGACGCTTTGGTTCCCCAGTGGGGAGAAAGGCAGGATATAAGTGAAGTAAATACATGAAAATTGCAATATTATAGTTGGTTCTGATCACCCATAGCATGACCCAGTGCAAAATTACTCCAGTCCTATCCCTTGGTAAAGGACTGCACTGTGGATACCTCAGTCAGAACCAGATAAAAACAGCATCACATAGCTTGCAAGCTTTCGAGTTCATCAGGATTTTTCTTTAGAGCTAAGCCAGTGAAATAAAAATGTGTGGTGGGGGGAAGAGGTATAATACAGAATTAATTAGTATAGCAAGTGCTAGGTGCAAAGCCCAAAGATTTCTCTGGTTGGCAGCCAGCATGGGGTAGCGGTTAGAGTGTTAAAACTAATAATTATCCTATGGCAATGTGTGTAGTATGGCCAGGAGATCCTAAGATTGTCTGGCACACTGAAGCTCTAGCTCTTTAACGTTATGCACCACTAGGTGGCGAGCTAGACATTTTTTGGGCTGAGAGAGCTCTGAAAGAGCCGTGAGTGACCCAAGGTCACCCAGCTGGCTTCATGTGGAGAAGTATGGAAGCAAACCCAGCTCTCCAGATTACAATCCATCGGTCTTAACCACTACACCGCACTGGCTCTCAAGTGTTAAAACCAGCGGCTAGGAAGACCTGGCTGCAGATCTCTACTCAACCAGGGTTAGCTCCCAGTGCCAATGGACCTAAGTAGGCTTCTGAAGAGACCTGTTTAGGATTGCTGTCTGTTCCTGGCTGTAACCTACCTTACAGGGTTGCTGTGCAGATAAAAATGGAAGAAGAAGAGAAGAGATTGGATTTATACCGCGCCCTTCACTACCCAAAGGAGTCTCAAAGCGGCTTACAATCTCCTTCTCTTCCCCTCCTCACAACAAATACCCTGTGAGGTAGGCGGGGTTGAGAGAGTTCTGAGAGAACTGCTCTTGAAAGAATGGCTCTGAAACAATTTGTCACTGACCCAAGGTCACACCAGCAGCTATATGTGGAGGACCAGGGAATCAAACCCGGTTCTCCCAGATTAGAGTCCGTGCTCCTAACCACTACACCAAACGGGGAGGAAGAAGGGAGAACCTGGAGGAAAGGTGGGTTAATAGATGTGGCTCAGTTCCATGAGATGAAGTCTGTGGAACTCTGGGGTTTCTGGACCCAGCACATGAAGGTGCATCACAGCCATACCTGATTTATGTGTTCTCCCCCCCCCCCAGCCCCATTCTTTTCCTGCTTCAGTTCAGACTGCAGCAAACGTGGAGAAAGCAAGTCAGCATCCACCCATCCCGTAACCCCCAACAAAATGTTGGAGGAAAAGCAGGCAAATGGAGTTAGCTTGGAAGCACTATGCCTTGGTGACAGAGCCCATGGTTCGACCTACAGCATCTCCAGTTAAAGGACCTTTGGCAGCAGGTGCTGGAAACCACCTTCCTCATCCAGGGAGCTGCGACCACTCAGTAAATTATACTGAGCCAGGTGGATGCTCTCATTCCGTCTAAGACAGCTTCATGGGGCCATGGATCAGTGGCAGAGCCTCTGCTTGGCATGCAGAAGGTCCCAAGTTCAGTCCCTGGCATCTCTAGTTAAAAAGGTCCAGGCAGTAGGTGATGCGAAAGACCTCTGCCTGAGACCCTGAAGAGCGGCTGCCAGTCTGAGTAGACAATACTGACTTAGATGGACCAGGACCAATGGTCTGTTTCAGTATAAGGTGCCTTCATGTGTCCATAGGCCTACATCCTAATAGAAAAAGGAGTGTCGCCACTAGGGGGCAGCCTCACTCTGTAATCACAAGAGTGCCTTGGGAAGGTAGGAAAGACCAAGAACCCCATGAGCTTGGCTCCAGTGGTAGCATCCTGATACCCCAGCAGGCCACTAAGCTTGCTTTAGGGGTTGCAGTGTGCATGCATTTTGTAGAGTGCATGTGTGTGTGGTTGTAATCTGGTGCAGGATTTAGAGAGCTCCCTTTGCAGCCCAGAATTTGCCTAGCTATGTTTGATCCATAGTGCCTTGTGAATGGCTGGGGGCCCCTCCATCTCCAAAAGCTGTTTCCTGTTATTCATCCGTCGCCTGGGGTCGGAACTTTAATTTCCTGCCCTCTCTTCATCTGTTTTTGCAAACGGGCCTGGAAAGGATTTCTCTGCCAGGGTGCCTTCATGTCCTCCCTGACACAATGATGTCAGAAAAGCAGAGTCAAAGACCCAGAGCAAATATCCAAGAGCCTGGAGAGCCACCTCTTTATGCCACAATCCATGCTGCACCATAAATATGAGGAGAGAGAGACCTTTGGAACAATATTTTTACTTTGCAGTAAATGCACAGTTGTGTAAAGAGCATAACACCCCCACCCTGCCATGGTGGTGTATTTATTGCAGTAAATTATGATAATTCCTGTGTGTGCTATAACGACAGGCAATGTATTGTTCAATGAGACTCATTCTGTCCACAGTTAGTATGCTGTGATGTATATAATAGAAAAGACAAAAAGTTGTGCTATACGCTATAATGATACTATATTGTGACTATTTTTAACAATTTTGACAATAAATAGCAAACAGTGTAATAGCAAACAATTATAGCATAATAGCAAGAAAAGACACTTGGAATTCACTGCTACAGGAAGTGGTGGCAGCTACAAGCATGAACGGCTTCAAAAGGGAATTAGATAAGCATATGGAGCAGAGGTCCATCAGTGGCTATTAGCCACAAGGTATAGATAGGGACTCTGGAGCAAGTGATGCTCTGTCATCTTGGTGCTTGGGGGGGGCAACAGTGGGATGGCTTCTAATGTCCTGGCCCCACTGGTGGACCTCCTGATGGCACTGGTATTTCTGGCCACTGTGGGATACAGAGTGTTGGACTGGATGGGCCTTTGGCCTGATCCAACATTGGCATCTCTTATGTTCTTATGAGTCCAAGATGTAGCGTTCGAAGTTAATGAAAATCTTCATCCAAATAGGACTATATCTCCTTCAACAATAAGTTTAATATAAATTACAAAGTGCAATGTACCATATACATTTCATATAAGTCTAAGAATAATAATTCATTACATACATGTGATTGTCTTCTAGTATCCATGCTTTTACAAATCAACTTATTCTCTGTGTGGCTAATTCTGCAAAAAAGGCGATCTCTGTCAGAGAATATAAAAATATATTAACAATATCCAAAAACTAAAAACATTTACGTAACCTTTTACTAAGAATTACACTCATACACAATTTTTGCATGCTTTCTAAGGTGCAACTATAGTTGGAAATGGGCCATCTGAAGAATGAGGTTAAA